TAAATTGAGAAATAAAATTATCGGGCGTAGAATTGAAGATTTTAGAGTGACATACTAAAATCCCTAATTCGGTCCTATCGTTTGGGTGCTGAAGTGTAGATGTTAGCCCTCAGGCGAGAGGAACATGGGAGCTCCGAAGTGAGGCTGGTATCGTCCCAGCCTAGCTGTAGATTCAGTAAACAAGCATAGGATTAGTCAATGTTCTTTATGCCTGGACCAAAGGGTAAAGAATAGGTATGCTTCTATTTGGCACAATATAATTTGAACTGATTCATTTTATCCATTCACTATAATTTCTTGACAAGGAGAATGATGCTTTCTTATATATTGAATTTAACATTAGAAATTTTATTAGTATAATTAGTTACTTGAGAGTTATTAAAATTACATATTTATTTCAATTGCCTATTAGTGACAGATAAGCAATTTGAATTATATTGTTGTGATTAAGTATTGATTTTCTAAAATCTTAGTTCTTAGCTTCTAATATTACTCCCTGTGGGATCGATATCTGGGACTCCATTAGAGCCCTATATTACTTGAGCGATACGTATACTTGCGTTGATAAATGTGACTTTACCATTATTAAATATTTTATATATACATATTTATTGAATCTATAACCGTTATTAAGTTTTTGGTGTCGTTGTTGAGGAATTAAATCTTCTAGCAATAGTATTAAATACTTGTATTTTTAAGCATATATAAAGTCGTTGTCAAGTTTTTGGCGCCGTTGCCGGGGAGTAAACAAGAATCATAATTAGAGTAATGAACAAATTAGACTATTAGAAAATTTTTACTGGAATTGTAACTTACTTTCATATTTAGTTAACTATTTTTCTGTGTACTGATTTCAATTGTATGCGTAAATTTGGACCTGAAAATGTTATACCCTACGATTTAGAATTAGAACGTACTGTTAGAAAAATTAGAAGACTATGAAGAGAACCTAGAAATTCTGATACAATTGAAAACAACATGAATAATCAAGGAATAGAAAATGAACACCAACTTAGACCTCTACGAGATTATACAAATCCTACAGCAGATGAAATTCACTTATCTATCCAAATCCTGATGTAGCTGCTAATTCATTTGAGCTTAAACCTGCTATTATCCAAATGATACAAAATAATCAATTTGTAGGTACACCAAATGAAGATGTTAATTTACACATCGCTAGTTTTTTAGAACTTTGTGCTACCTTTAAACATGACAGAGTTTCAAACGATGATGTTAGACTTAGAATTTTTTTCTTTTTCACTTAGGGATAATGCTAAGATGTAGTTAAATTCGTTAGCACCTGGATCTATTAGAACTTGGAGAGAACATTCACAGAAATTTCTATTCAAATATTTCTCTCCATCCAAAATTGTTAAACTTAGAAATGACATAACATCGTTTTGTCAGATTGATGGAGAGTCAATTTATGAAGCTTGGGAGAGATTTAAAGGTCTTCTTAGGAAGTACTCACATCATTCATTACCAGATTGGTTAATAATTCAAACTTTTTATAATGGATTAGTGGGATCACTTAGATCGATTATAAATGCTGCGACTGGTGGTTCTTTAATGTCAAAACCTTTTGATGAGGCTTATTTGTTAATAGAAGAGATGACTACCAACAATTTTTAATGGCCCTCTGAAAGGGTAAATCCTAAAAGAGCAG